TGGTGCAAAGACAACAAAAGGTAACAAGGGACGGTCCCGGCCATCAAGGAGCCCACAGTCAGCAGGGGACAGAGACAAAAAAAATAAAGATTGCAATCATAATACAGTGTGGTAAGTGCTACAATATGAATAAAGCCAGGATTCAATGGAGACACACAAAAAGGGGACATTTGGGCCAGTTTGGAGTCAGGGGGTTCCAGAGGGAACATTTAAGCTTAAGAAGACAAAGTCATATTTTTTTAAAGGAAGTAAGGCAAACATATTCAAGTCAAAGGGAACACCTATTGCAAAGGCCAGGAAGAGAGAAAGAATCCAGCACTGAAATGCAAATAGCTAAGTTTGCTTTAGAACAAAACAGGGTTGAAGTTCAGAGATAAAGCCAGAGAAGGGAGTAGGGGAACATCTTGAAGAATCTTCCCAGCCTTGTGAGGGAACTTTAGCCCGTGGGCAAAGAGTACGTGCTGAAGGACGGGCTCTGAACACCTCTGCCCTTTTAGAAGGATTAACATGATTAAGAAAGCATCTGAGATCTGTAAAATGAGTAAAAATTTACCAGGGGCCTAGGAGGGGAAGGAAATTCCAAGATGCAAAAACAAGAAAAAATATACTAAAGCTTAAAATAAAACTCCGAGGTCAGGGAATGGCAAGGAGTCCTATAGAGATAAGGAGGGAAAGGTCAGGAACGGAAAAAATGTGAAGGCCACCTTGGGGCTTTATTCTTCAAGCAAATATGGACTTTAAGCAAGAAAGGGTAATCAAAGAAATGTGAAATATAGAGTTAAGGAGGGAGCAGAAAACTCGGTTAGGAGGAGGCTATTAGAAATAAGAAACAGGGAAGGTCTGAGCCAGCACTGTGACAAGTGGATAGGGGTAGGGGAGAGGGCGTGGACTGAAATCCCTTTTGTGGGAGGATGGCAAGGATTCGGTAAAGAAATATGATTCTGAAGTTTTTTAGGCTCGGCGAATCGCATGACTGGCGATGCAGCTCAAGAAGAGAGGAATAGCAAGTGGAAGATCCGATTTCACGGGGGAAATGATTGTTTTACAGTAAAATGGACTTTTTTCTTTTGGCGTACAGTCACAAAAGACGTTTCTGATGGGCAGGATGGAACACGATTATAGGAAAGAGACCACGACAGAAGGTCAAAAAAAACAAAACAACTCAGTGATGGGGCCTCACTCCAGCAGACACGGGGCAGGCCAGGATTAGGATGCGGGTGGGTAACACTGCCTTCTTGTCCTATAAGCACATTTCCACTGGGTTCCATATTCTAGCTTCCCTTGGAGCCAGATATGCCTATGTGACTAGGTTCCGGCTGATAAAATGTGAGCGGAAGGTATAAGCCAGCCTCCCCGGCCTCGCCTCTAAAAGGACTGCATGTGCTCCCCCTGGGCATTTTCCTGGGACTTGACTAGAAACACACAGAGAGTAAGCCTAATAACTTTTTGAAGAAACTATAAAGCCATACTCACAAGAAGCTGAGATTCTTTAATCCCCAAGGCGACCCGTAGGCCTCTAAGCTATACCCGCAAGCAGCAGACTACAAAACCCGTACAATTCCCAAATGCCACACGCTCTGTAATGCCCGTTTTGAATGTGGCCAGAGAGGATAATGGACCAGGAAGAACCTCCTGGAGAACAAAGCCAGGAGTCAGGGAGAAAAGACAGGGAATTCCTCTCAGAGAGCAGGAGCACTCAGCACCCCCAGCCATGACAGAGGGTCTTTGAAATCGCTCTGAAGTACTTATTTTAATACTGCCAGGCAGCTGTGACCTCTGCACGGTTCACCTTGTTCCCTTTCCTAAATGGGGGTTTGTAACTGCCACTGTGGCGACGTTGTTCGTACTTCGCCACTGTCTGCTGGCTGGGGGTGGGGGTGAAAAAGGGGTGGGGGCGGCGGGGGGACGTCCGACTTGTCTTTCGGTTTCTGGTCAATGGGCCACGGGAGCCACTGCTGGGCCTGATGGAGAGGACGGTGTATCACCCAGACTCTCTGGACTTGGAGCTGGACATGGTGACCAGATGAGTCTCTGGGGCCACTTTCTGCGGAGAGGAGGCGTGTTCCGTGTTTGGGAAGAAGAGGACACCCAGATGTGTGCGTAAGAAGAGTGGGCTGGAGGATGGCAGGTTGTCTCCTGACTTCCTATAACTCCTTCCGGAGTAACGGGGTTTTGGCTGAGCGTATGGCTGCGCAGCCAGAAGTGACCGACCCCTAGCCTCCCTTCCAGCTGGACTAGCTGCATAAGTACACAGCAGACAACACAGCGCAAGCAGAGGCTTCTGAGCAGCCAAATGTCAGGCCACTTCTGGGCTCGGCCTTTAAAAATGCTGGGCAACTACGGGGAGGCAACCAGAACTGGAGAAGCTACCCCGCGGCCCCGAAGTGCTCGCCTCCAGGCTCCCTCAGTGAAGTTAACACTGAATCTGGGGGGCTCTCTCTTACAGTAGCTTAGGTTAGGGCCCCAACTGCTGAAGGAGTTAGCCCTGGAAAGCGATAAGGAGTTCTGAGATAAGAAAATTAGGATGAAGTAAGAAAAGTTTTTTTTGGAAGTACTGACGAGAAAGGTGGAGGCGTTTTATCTGATTACTGAGATCATCCATCTGCGCCCTCTCCAGTGCATTCTCCAAGCAGCCACCACAGTGATCTTTCTAAAGCAAAATCTGACCGTGTCAACCCCAGCTGAAAAACTTCGACGCCTTCCCGCTGCCCACGGGGTCAAGTGCGACCTCTTCTCCTGGCCTTGAGGCCCAACGTGACTTCTACCCATCCCACTAGCTTTATTTTCATCATGCTGGGCACCAGTCACGGAAAACCAGCTGCGGCTCCCTAAACATGCCCTTTGACCTCGTGCCTCCACACTTGTCTACTAGCTGTTTCTTCTACCTGGAACGGCATCCCCAAACCACTACCTCCCGCCCTCTACTATAATTATCTATGGACGTGACCATCTCCTTCATTAAATTATAACTTCTGTGAGTGCAGAGACGAGGTCATTTCTTGTTGTATCGTCAACACAAAGCAAAGTGCTTCACAAGAATCGAGTGCTCAGTAAATATTTACTAAAAGAATGAAGAAAGGAATATTATATATCGAGTTTCACATATCCTAGAGCTCGAGTCATTTTTATAGCTAACACTTCCGTATATTTCTTTAAAATATTAATATCACTTAAAGGATATTAATAAAATAAGAGTAAAATGATTACAAGTTAAATTTGTAATGAACAGAACTTCATATTTTCTAAGATGGTAAAGGGTACGGTTCCGTCAGCTCATTCGAATGATCTACAAAGAAGCTGGCTTTCTAGTTTTCTCCTGTCCCGATTATAATAATAGCATTCACTTCTTTCACCCTCTACCCACGCAGAGCGGAACTCACTTGCTGTGTGAGTACGTTAGTTTGTTATTTTCAGAAGGTATCTTAGCCAGAATCTGCTCTGTCACCTCCAGGAAGTTTCCTCCACACCAAGCGTGTTTGGCAAGGATGGTGGTTCCCCTGGCAACGACGGCAAAAAGAATAGCCATGGCTTCAATCTAGCAAGAGGAAAAAAAGACATACACGACTTAGAATACTGTTTTCAGAAGTTGCTATCACTTATCAACCCCTACCTGGCGGCAATATTGACCAAGGCACTATAATATTAAACGCAACGACTTAACAGGCTTAATGAGATCAATCTTGTACAAGCTTACAACCTAAGCCATGCTGATGTGCATACAGATATGGAGACCTACCAAATGCGTACAGTGTGTGTGTGTGTGTGTGTGCACGTGCGCAACATAATGTATATGTGACACATACATACATATACATTACACTGAATGACAGGTTACATTTACAAATTATACAGCACAAACTCATATCACCCTTTGAAAAGCAATGACCATAAGTAGCAAAGGGAAATAAAGAAGTCTTCGTTCTTTAATGCAAGTAATCCCATCCTGAAAATTTATCCTAGAGAAATAGTTCAACAGAAGTTAGACTCTAGATTCACAAAGATAACTATTCAGAATAATAATAGCCCGCCTACATTTATTGAGTGCTTACTATGTGTCAGGCACCATTTTAAACATTTTGCAATAATTAACTCATTTAATCTCACATCAATGAACTTATACACTATCATGATACTTATATTAAAATGAAAAAACTGAAGTACAGATGACTTATATGATTTGCCCAAAATTACAAAGCTAGTACATGATAAGAACTAGGATTTAAACCCAGGCAGAACGGTTCCAAAACTCACAGTCTTATCCCTGTAAGTATATTGCCTCTACTAGAAAGGCATTACCCATAATAGAAACGTAGTGAAAATAACCCAAACCTTCCACAAGGGAGGAATGCTTCTATAAGTTAAAACAAAACATTTCTAAAACAATGCAGCATGAGTTTAAGATTATTTTTCTCATGTTTATGAATTTGTACTATTTTTTTCCCACAGGACAGCCCAGTTTATCTTATCTAATGGTATAAACTTATAACAAGAGATGAAAAAATGCCTTCCTATCCTTCAACTAACTCTTTGACCTAATGTTATTTGTTAATACGTTCAGTGTCACCCGATTAAGCCAGCGGCTCTCCGACTGTAGTGTGAATGAGTCGTCTTAGCTGGCAGAGTGAGAGCCACTTGTTAAAAATTCATACTCTTGGCATCGTTCCCTGTAATTCTGATTCCGTGGGCCTGGGGGGCGGCGGGTGGGGGGCTGGAATACGTACTTGAGACAAGCCTGCCTGGATGCAGGTGATTCACACAACCATAATTTGTGAAACACAGCAACAGATTATAACGTGCTTGATGCTCCGGGAATCTGCTGGTTCTTTCTTGGAATCCCAGCACCGATGGACAACACACAGAAAAGGGCTCGTCCGTCCCGTGAACTGAACTCCTTCCTCTAGGGGTCTCGTCTTCATTCCACTCTCTAAATGAGGGTGTTCCCCGGAGTCGTGTCCTCAGCCATCTTCCTTCTGGATTTCTCCTTGTACATATGCAGCGAGTTATCATTTCCAAGTCACTTTTCATGCATTATGTCCCTTGATCCTAAAAGCCTCGACTGACCTTGTAACGTGCTCCAGGTACTGCTCCGTTTCTGAAAATCATAATCTATGCACTCTCCCTGCTAATCTACCTCTTTTTAACGCTTCAATTTACTAGAATCTGGCTTTTGTCCTCAACACTCCATAAAACCACGCTTGCTAAGATCACCAACAGCCTCTGTGTTGCAAAATTCAGTGGTAACTTGTCTATTCTCACCCTATTTGACTTCTCCAAACAGTCAACCACTGACTAACCCTCCTTCTTGAAATATTCCACATCTGGCTGTTCCTTTTGTCTTCTTGCTGCGTCTGCCTCCTCTAGTTTACTTATAAAGGTTGCATTTCCACAGGGATCGGTTCCACACGAGCTCATCTAGAGCTGCCATCTCAAATGGGATTTATCTGCTGAAGGCGCACTGCATGCAAAACGAACACACAAAACAAAGGCACATCGAAATTGCGGGAAAACCAAGGACAAAACCCAAGGTGGAGCAAATAGTTGAGGGAAAGGGAGATGAACAGGGCCAGGGACTCATGAAGAAGACTGAGGACGCCAACTGGGAAAGTAAGAGGAGAGCCAGAAGAGCCTGGTGGCCTGCAGGCCAAAGGGAAAGGAAGCTTCGGGAAGGAGCAAGTGTCAGCCATCCTAACTGGGCTCACTGATGCATGGCATGGTGACTGTAAAACAGTCGCTAAAATTTTATAAGGAAGCAAAGGAAGCAGGTCATTGGTTAGGGTCAAAGAGACATGCGGTGGAGCAAAATAAAAACACAAAGAGAAAGAGATGAAATATCAGATGGTTCCTGACACGGAGAGATGCAAACGCGGCAGCCTCAGTCCGTTAGCGGCTTCGAGAAGAAAACTGACTTGGGCAACAATACAAAAATATCTAGTGTCTTAGAGGACCATAGGTTCATTATGAACTGACATGAGGTGATTGCTTAAAATGCTTATGTAATCTTAAATCACACTGAGAAACGGGGGGGTATCTCGATCTCTTTAAGTACAACTGCCATTATCCTCTGTGGTGGTTAGAACGGAAGCGGGATGCTGAGTTTAGTTCTGGGTATCATTTTCCAAGATTGCACAAAAGGGCAACGGTATGGGCGACAGACCTGGAGATGGTATCATTGGAAGAATGGCTAAAGGAAGCAGAAAACATTTAACATGAAAAAGAGAAGACTTAGAGGGAATGTGACAACAGTCTTCGAGTTTCGGTAAAGTACAGCCACCTGGAACAGGGAGTGCATTATTCAGCATATAAGTGAGAACGATGGATATAAGTGATAGGGAACAGCGTTTTGTTCAACAAAAGCAGTCCCAATTTAAAAAAAAAATGCCTGACAGTTAAACATCGGGTACAGAGCAACAGGAACTTTACTTTCCTCTCAGATATCACTAATGGGAATTTCTTACTCTCTCCTATATTGCTAAAAATCCCACCTTATAATCGCCTCGCCTGCCTCCACTGTAGCTCTCTTGCAATAGAATCTGTAATGTCTCGAGTACTGGAATAATAGAAACCACCGTGGCAGAAATAATACTGCATTTGAAGTCAGAAAACCTGGCATTGCTAATTATTAGTGGTATGTGAATGTCTACTCAACCATGAGTGCTATATAAATATAATATTCAAGAAGAAAAAGAATGGAAGGATACACAAGAGAGAGAAAAGAAGAATTTTTTTCTTTTGAGATAATGGAATAGAAAGGAAAGCTGTCTTAACACTGTTCTTCCCTGTTCTCTTACTCACTCCTTGCTTGGTCCAGCGCCATCATCCCA